ACAGAAGTCCAGGCGTGAGGTTACCAGTGCGTGCACAACAGTTTCGAGTATAATGTAGTGGTTTGAGTGTTGGACTTGATTTGAATCCTTGCTCAGCCATGAAACCCACTGGGTGATCCTGTGCAAGTCACATTCTCTCAGCCACACAGATGGCAATAGCAAATCCCCTGGAAAAAACTGCCATGCTAGGATATGGGCTTTAGGGTCACCATAAGTTGGAAATGACTTGAAGGCACGCAACAACAAATAAATATTTTAATAAATAAACAAATGAACAATAACTAAATAGCAATAACATCCAACCACAATCTTTTTCTTACAAATGTGATAATGTTATTGAACAACACTTACCCATGTGTTTTATAACCAGCATTCAAAAGCATACTATATATCACAATAACCATTCAGTCATTTAGTTAAATCTGCCTAAGTATTTTCAGGTTCAGTGATAATTTAAAATTCAACTAAAAGTACACAAATATGATATTATGAAAGAAAAAGCACCCTCCTTGTACCTTTAATACATTTTTAAAAAATATGTTGACTTATCTAAAAAGTTTTTTTTAATTACTTAAATTATCAAAGTAGTTCTAACTGTAAAATGAGTTTCTTACCGTGAAGCAAACTGGGGTGGGGGGATTTGCTTTAATATCAAGGGCCTATCTATCACATCATCTCAGGTCAACAGGTGACAACTCAAGAGTTCTCATCTCTTCTTTGCTTCTGCCTCTAGGTAGCTGGCTGTTCTAACACCTGTACTTTCTAGAGAATAGGGCAAGCAACAGCCCAACCTCTGGATCACAATAATTCTTTGTGACTTACGACTTACTTCCCTATTGACTAGCACCTCCATACTTGCAAGCATATGACCACTAAAGATGAACCTAATCATTCATTTTAATGGGCAAGGAGGTGTATTCTCAAATGAAGCAAAAGATGAAAGAATTATTGGACAGGGAGAACAAAACTACAGTCCTGAAGTACAAGGTAAGCTCCATAAAATGCAAAAAGATTTATTTGAAACTAAATATGCTTACAACTGCACTGCCAATGCCGCTGTTACATTTGTTTTGCTTGCTTTCTACTTCATTTTTGAGCTATCTTGGACTCCTAGATTTGACAGCAAAATGAGAAATATTTTAATTACTGTGATCAGTTCATGTACAGAATCTGAACTAGAGATTCGGGAGAACAATAAACTCTTTATCTGACTATTAGTATCATGTTCAAATTACTTAAAGCCACCTCCCATATACCAGCCTTTTCCAAAACAGTTATAAACTGCATGTGAAAAAAAAGTAGTCTGAACTGCAAGCAGGGTCTACTGAGAAACTGCTGCCAACACCAACTTCAAATGAAGGAGCCGCCTTGGGTCCCCATCTGGGAGAAAGGCAGCATACTAAGTAAGTAAATAAATAAATAAATAAGCAGCAAGCCAGTGTGGCACTGTGGTTTGAGCATTGGACTGCGACTCTGGAGACCAGGGTTCAAATCACTGTGTGGCCATGAAACCCAGTGGATGACCATGGGCAAGCCACATGCTCTCAGCCTCAGAGGAAGAAAATGGCAATCTTCCTCTGAACAAATCTTGCCAAGAAAACCCTAGGATAGATTTGCCTTGGAATCACCAAAAGTTGGAAACAGACACACAACAACAGCAACAACAAAACAGAACACTTACCGGTAGTTTGTAAATGATGATGCATTTGTATTTTGCCAAATGTGTGTGTTTTAATGTTAAATGCAATTCTAAGAATTACTCAGAGCTTCATTTGACCAAAAACGCAGAACCTCAGCTTTTAAGCTCTACAGCTCAGCCCTGGAGAATAAATACCAGTAAGTATTAAAAGAACCACCATGCATATGGGTCCAAAACACACTGTAGAAATAATCCAGCTTGAGACCGCTTTAACTGCCCTGGCTCAGTGTTAGGGAATCCTGGGAGTTGCAGTTTGTTATGGCACCAGAGCTCTCTGACAGAGAAGGTTCAATGTCTCACAAAATTACAATTCCCAGGATTCCCTAGCATTGAGCCAGGGTAGTTAAAATGGTTTCAAAGTGTATTATTTTTGCAGTGTGTTTTGGACCATGGTGGCTTGATGACCTGGGATTTTAGCACAAGGACAAGTGGACTTCATTTGAGGCAATTAACAGCCACACTAACAGCCTGAAGCTGTTGTTTATCAGTTTACCAGGTGCTGAAGAACTGCCCCAGATACAGTCCAGCTGTTTCAATCCTTCAAGTTTTGGAGGAAGACAGAGGGCAGCTGGGCATCATCACCTGAACGGGGCAGGCAGGAGGGGCTCTGGCAGGGTGACCAGGCGTCCTCTTTTCCCATGGCACGTCCTATATTTCAGCTTTCTGTCCAGCAGGAGTTCCAAAATGTCCTGTTTTCAGCATGACTAAAAAGCATGAATGTATATCTTTATGAGTATTTTTAGCTTTTATTTGGTAACACCCTACATTCAGTGTGACCAGATGTCTCTTTTTCCCCTGGATGTGGCCTATCTTTCAACCTTCTGTCCAGGAGGAATTCCTAGATGTTTTCCACTTTATAGACAAAGCATAAGTCTATATTTAAATCAGTGTTTTTAGCTTTTATTTGCTAATGTCCTACATTTTTTCCTTGAATGTTCTACATAGTGCGGTGCCTTGTCCTCCTTTGCAGTTAGGATATCTGGTCACCCTGTCCCTGACTAAACTCAGGCTACTGCACTTGGGACACATCACGAGAACACATCCGGGGGACTAGACATCCTCCTTTTCCAGGACATCTCCTACTTTAAAACCTTCAGTCCAGGAGGAGTTCTCAAAGTGTCCTCCATTCTGAGCATGACTAAGAAGCACGAATATCTATTTTGTTGTTGTTAACGCCTCTCGAGTCGATCTTGACTCATGGCCTATGGATGAGACATTTTCAAGACCCTCTGTCCTCCACTGCTCTGCTTAATTCCTGAAACCCCTTAATGCTTGTGACCTCATTTATAGAGTCTATCCATCTGGTACATAGACTTCCTCTCCTCCACCTTTCCCAGCATTATTGTTTTTTCCAGAGTCCTCCCTTGTCATGATGCGTCCAAAAGTACAACAGCCTCAGTTTGGTCATCCAAAAATAAATACCTTATTTTTAACTTGAAATTGGTTTAATAATTTTTTAAGGGGGGGAGGGGGAGGAATTTATTTTTAATTGTTGTTGTGATTTTATCTTGTAAGCCGCCCTGATTGCGCTCAGAGGGGCGGGGTATTAAATAAAAATTATTATTATTATTATTATCCTGGCTTCCAGGGAGGTTTCTGGCTTCATCTGCTCTAGGACCCATTTATTTGTCATTTTGGCTGCCCATTGGATCCTCAACACTCTTCTCCAGCACCACATCTCAAATGCATTGATTTTCTTCCTATCATCTTTCTTAACTGTCCAGCTCTCACATCCATACATGGTAACAGGGAATACGATGGCTTGTATGATTCTGAATTTTGTGAGTTGCATATCTTTGCATTTTAGAATCATTTCTAGTTCTTTCATAGACACCCTCCCCATTCTTAATCTTCTTCTGATTTCCTGGCTGCAGTCCCCATTTCTATCCATGTTTGACCCCAGGTATGAGAATTCCTTTACTATTTCTATTTCTTCATTGTCTAGGCTGAACTTGTGATGAAGGTCCTCGGTGGTCATTATTTTTGTTTTCTTTACGTTCAACAGTAAGCCTGCCTTAGCACTTTCTTCTTTGACCTTCCTTAGTAAGTGTTCCAGGTCTGTGAGGTTTTCAGCTAGTACTATGGTGTCATCTGCATATCTTAGATTGTTGATATTCTTTTCTCCTATTTTCAGTCCTCCTTCTCCTGTGTTCAAGCCTGCTTTCCTTACAATACGTTCTACATACAAGCTTATTTATATAAGTTTATTTATATGTTTGTTTATATAAGTTTATTCATATGAGTTCGTTTATATATAAGTTTATTTATATGAGTGTTTTGAGCCTATATTCGGCCCTGTCCTCCATTTCCCTTGCATGCCCTACATTGTGCGGTGCCTTGTCCTCCTTGGCGGTGAGGACATCTGCTCCCCCTGGGCTTTGGGCCCGACTTTCCCGGACGGCGCTGACCCACTCCGAGTCCCTGCCACGGAACTCACCGGGAAGAGAAGCTCGTTGGCCCCGAAACAGCAACGACGGAGGAGGTGGAGGAGGAGGAGGAGGAGGCCTGGCCCCGGAGCGGCGTTGAGGGCCCCGCAAGAGCTGTCCGGGGCGCCCGAGGGGCCCTCCCTCACGAAGCCGTCGGCTGGGGCCCAGCGCCGAAAAGCAAAGCCAAGCCAGCGCCGTCCCCGCTAGCCTCGCACCCGCATCCAGGCAACCAGGAAGAGGGTCACGTCACCACCGTCCCAGTTACACTCACTCCTCTTCTGCGCCTCCCCCCCCAGGCTCCCCATGCACTTCCGCTTCCGGGCTATGTCACGAGAGCCAGCCCACTCGTCTATAAGTAACCCTTGCTGTAGGGACGTCAGCTCCTCAGAGCCCGCGTGGCGTAGTGCGTTGAGGGTTGCGCTGCGACTCTGAAGACCCGGGTTCGATCCCTGGCTAGGGGCCATTTAAAACCAGTGGGTTACTTTGGGCACAAAGAATTCAAAGCTATTATAGCTGTTAGGGTCATTAGAAATGATTTGAAGGCACACAACAATAACAGCAAAAAGAGAAGAGTGCTGAGGGATATATATATCTCATGGGCAGCCAGAAAGGACAAACAAAAACAAGCCTGAAATCTCTTTACTGGTTTTCACTCTGCTGTTTTAAAATTTATATTTTCATATTTATAATATTTAGCTTCCAGAAAAGGCCGTGGCAAACCTCCTCTGAACAAATCTTGCCAAGAAGACCTTGCGATAGGGTTGCCATAATCAGAAAGGACTTGAAGTCACACAACAATAACAACTACTTACTATGTATAATGTGTGTGTGTGTATATATATCTATATCTATCTATCTATCTATCTATAATTATATAGTTTCTATGTATGTATGTATATATATATATACATATATATGTATATATATATATTTTATGTATATATATAAAATAATGTATATATATATATATACATATATATGTATATATAATCATATATTTTATGTATATGTATAAAATTATGTATATATATATATATATATATATATATATGGTTGTATATAAAATGTTTAATATATAAGTACTCCAAATAAATAAATAAATAATATTAATAATTAATAGTTAAATTGAACATTAAAATTAATATTAATTTAAATATTTACTTTTTTAAAAATGTAACCAATGTTTCAGTTCTATTTTTATTTAATTATTATAAGCTGACTTGAATCCCATATGGGGAGAAAGGTTGGATATAAATCCCTTAAATAAAAAACAAAATAAAATAAAATAGAAGCCAAGATGACCAGATTGAGGCTGTCGTACTTTGGCCACATCATGAGAAGGCCTGACTCATTAGAAAAGGCATTGATGCTGGGAAAGGAGGTAGAAGGCAGTAGAAAGAGAGGAAGAGCAAACACCAGAGGGACAGCCTGAATTTATTATAGGACTTGAGTAGAGAGATAGAGGAGAGGGAGTCTCAGTGACAGCTTGACACCACTTTAACTTCCTTGGCTCAGTGCTAGGGAATCCTGGGAATTGTACTTTACTATAGCACCACAGGTCTCTGACAGAGAAGGATCAATGTCTCACAAAACTATAATTCCCAGAATTCCTTAGCATTCAGCCATGGCAGTTACAGTTGTGTCAAACTGGATTATTTCTGCAGTGCGGATGCAGACTCTCAGAGAAGAGGGACCTTTTGCTCTCCAAGTGTTTTCAATTTTAGCTCCCAGATGTCTCAGCTACTGATGGGAGTTGTAGTTCAAAATTATCTGGAGAACCCAAAGTTTCCCACCCCTGTTTTAAAGGCTATCTTTTGTCATTGTTGGATAGAGAGAGATTGAGGGTGCATCTGCACTAGAAATAAGGCTGACGCCCCTTTAACTTTGTTGTTGTGTGCTTTCAAGTCGTTTCTGGTGACCCTAAGGTGGGTTTTCTTGGCAATATTTGTTCAGAGGAGGTTTGCCATTGCCTTTCCCTGAGGCTGAGAGTGTGTGACTGGCCCAAGGTTACCCAGTGGGTATCAGCTGCCATGACTCTATGCTACAGTATCCTGGGATCATAGAATCACAGAAGAGTTGGAAGAGACCTCAAGGGCCATCCAGTCCAACCCCCCTGCCATGCAGGAACTCTCAATCAAAGCACCCCCAACAGATGGCCATCCAGCCTCTGTTTAAAGACCTCCAAAGAAAGGGACTCCACCACACTCTGAGGGAATGTGTTCTTACTGTCAGGAGGGTCTTCCTAATGTTGAGGTGGAATCTCTTTTCCTCTTGTTTGAGTCCATTGCTCCGTGTCCTAATCTCTGGAGCAGCAGAAAACAAGCTGGCTCCATCTTCAATATGAATTTTTGGATTTGTACTTTGATGATGCACTGGAGCTC